AAAAGCATTTAAGAATTTAAATCTTCTCTATGAGTCACGTTATGGTTGTTCCCATTTCTTAACTTTACTCCAAAGAGGAGAGCTCTTCTTTATTTTCTCCTTTATTTTAGTATCAACAGTTATTTATTGGGCTCTATATCAGTTAGTGTTCCACATCTTAGAAGGCAGCTATGAACCTCTCTGTCCATTTGAGAAAGCTCACACCCTTCTCATAGAAATCAGAAGGCCCTCAGCACATACTTCCATTTCATAGCAGTAAATTTAATAAATAGTTACCTAGTGTAAAGACCATCTGGTCTGAAGACTTCCCACCAGGCAGTTCTTGATGGTTGTTAGGACTCCGTGTCTTCAAGGACAACTCACAGTTGTGTGTGAGCACTTCAAAACATCCACGCAGGCATCCAGCGTAGCAGTTGGTGTGAATTTTAGGCATGTATGTTATAGTCTTCTGAGGGTCTAGGGAGTGCTCTTGGAGCACACACACACACACACACACACACACACCTTTTCAAAAAACAAACATTAATTCTCAGTGATATTGCAGCCTACCGAGGAAGGGAAGCATGTTCTTAACTGTCCCTTCCTTCTCTTATTTGCAAGTTGTTTCTTTCATAATGGAGATTGATCTTCAAGTTTATTCTGGCGGGGTGAGGAAAGTGTTCAACTGTTGAGACATATTTCTTAAGGACACTTAGCTAAGGAGATATATAGTCAAATCTCTAAAATTTTCGTTTGAAAAATCCTTTCAAGTTCTTAGACAAAGACTATCCTCAAGTTACCAATTTGAGGATGGTTGTGTACGTGAGGAGGTGGGGGAGACTTTCTCAGTTACGTGTATGTGGTGAAGAGGGAAGGACTTGACCAGGCCCTTAACTATACTCTACTGGATGTGGCAGGGAGTGGGTGATGTTTTAGGAAGGAGAGAGTTGAGAAGGTAGACAGGCAAAGTAGAGGCAGGCAACTGCGTTTTTTTTTCTGTGAGAAGAAAATGTTCTTTTTTTTTCTTAACGTCTTTATTGGAGTATAATTGCTTTACAACGGTGTGTTAGTTGCTGCTGTATAACAAAGTGAACCAGCTATACATACACATGTATCCCCATATCCCCTCCATCTGCGTCTCCCTCCCACCCTCCTTATCCCATCCAAAGCACCGAGCTGATCACCCTGTGCCATGCGGCTGCTTCCCACTAGCTGAATTACATTAGTTTGGGGGTACAGTAAGGTCATTTTAATAAGCTCACCTAGAGAGATCGGCTGGGCTTTCTTTCCGCCAGGCAGCATAGCTGCAGGAGCGCCACTCACGTGGCGCTTATGTGGAGCGCAGTGCCATTTACACGGATTACAATGGGAAGGAGGCCCCCTAGCGTTGTGTAGCAAAGCTGGTTGCGGCAGCCAGTAAGAATTTTAATTTTCATGTAAGTTATTTGTCATTGTATTTTCTTTGGAGAGTTGTCCAAAATCAGTGGTCTCCTTCAGCTGATATTAAGTCAAACATCTGCTCTCAAGGTCTTCATAGTACTCGCTGCACTGCTATCAGAAGTTGATTGACTTGTCCGTTTTCCCTCTACCTGGAACTCCAGATCGCTTGAATCCCTTTACCAATAGTTCCAGGCACACTGTCTGGCACAAAGGAAGGGTTTGCTAAATGTTTCTGAATTAAAAGTAACTATTCTCTATGACATACACCCAATTGCCCTGCATTTTTTTCTTCCTAATTTTAATTTGTTGTCAATTTAGTTCACAGAGAATGCACTGTGTTTCTATTTATTAAATTATCTCCTAGGGGTAGCATATTAAAAATTAAGCTTAGTTAAATCTCAGTGTCCTGTGATCATTATATAAGCTGCTCATTGCTGCGTCTCATATTAGCTTGGTTCAATGGTTAGATGGTAATTGACATGAATACTTAATGACCACGTTTCCATTCTGATATATTACTAGTGATACTTACAGTTTAAAGTGCATTAGGGTTAATTGTAAATGCTCATAATTTGCCCACCCTTCTGACTGACAGTATATTCTTACACCTCAGAATATGATGAGCACTCCAGACCTGTGTAGGAAGAATACTGGTCTTCAGAGGCTCATCAATCACCATTATTAACCCTTCAGTTATCTCAAATCTATAACCTAAACTATTTCTGGAATTTCTACTTTGTCATCCATGTTGCCAAAAAGATCGCTGTGAAGTGTAACCTAAAGTCTGAGTGTTTTGTGATAATAGAGAAGAAGGTATTATCTTTAGCAACTGTCACAGTCTCTTACCCACAGGAATTTACAGGATGTTGCAGTGGAGCTCTCCTTTCTTCCCTGTCTCCCTCTCTTTCAACTCACCTACACCTGTGCTGCTTCCTTGGAGGCCACTGAAACATTGGTTTCTTTCAGATATGATTCTTCAACTCAAAAGTAGCTAGTAAAGTGGGTGGATGCATATTATACTGAGCGCGTCATTAGACAAAGCTTTTCTCTTATAAGATGTTGTGAATGTCCAGATGTAGTAATGTAAACATCAGAGGTCTTTATTATAATCTCACACATTCTTCATTCATATGATAAAAGGTGAAGTGATGCTGTCTAGTTAGATTGCTCTGGTCATTTCACACATTTAACTTTCTTTGTGAATATTCCTATGAATATGTCCAAGTTCAAAGAGAAGCTTTCCGGTCTTCCAGTTCATAGCCGTGTATCATGTTTCTTTTCTGTTTTCCCACAACAGACAGGGCAGTGTCCATGGTAAATATTCGATGATGATTATTAACACATTATTTAGGGAAAAAGAGTGTGTATTTTAACTGGTTGAATTATTTAACCTACTTAATCATCCTAGAATTAAGATAATGTCTGTGACATGCAAAAAAAAAAAAAAAAAAAACCTAAAACGCAGCTGACGTTTTATTATACTACATCAGCAGGTATAGTCCAAAGTTTAATAGCCCTGTCATGATGACTTGTTCAACAAAACAGTTCAGAAAGATGGTTTGCACAAGCAAACTTCAGGGGGGACGTCTAAGATCAAAAGGGGCAGGCAGTCGCCTTGAAGTTGAGCATATAAGTTCACAAATTCAAAAATTAGGGAGTCAGGAACATCCTAGTTATGCTTGGATTTTAAAATTCTAGAGAATATTGCACTGAATCTGACTCAAATCAAAAATGAAAGTAATCTTCCTCTTATGGCTTTTCCATGCCTACTTCAGTACCTACAGTATAGTAGAGGCTCAAGAAATACTTAAGAATTAATGTTGACTGAATAAGGAGGAATATAGCTATGACCACCACCATCACAAGAGAAGGCTACAAATGAAATTAAACTGCTTTATTTAATCTCAGAAACTGAATAGGAAATAAGAAGTCGACTGCTTTTAAAAACATATCCCAGAATGGGTACTGATGATATAAGTTTTGTGGGCCGCTTTATTATGCTTTTTATTCATGCATGAATTCAACATTTTATTATAAGCACTAAAGTGATATATTTAATTATGGAGTTAAATTTTTTTTTTAATTGCCAAATGACTTACAAGTAGAACATTTGTTTGTACTTGATTAAACTGTTTTGGTCGTTATGTATCATTTCACTCCCTGCTTTTGAATAAAGATACTCATTTACATTTACTGTTAGTACACTTGAAGAAATGTAGTTAAAAACTGATGACTAACCAAGATACTGTGTACCAGGAATGTGGAAATATTTACTTTCTGTGGAATGCAAATTAGTTGGATATGCAGATTTTGCATTACACAGATCAGAGTTTTCAAATAAAATCTCAAGCAATGTGTTTGAAAGGGCAAGCATTAATAATTTGTTGCTCATTCACACAATTGTTTTGAAGCTCCCCTCCCCATTTTCCTGCACCTCAGATGAATGATTCACTCATATAAGATTGCCAGTCTTATTTAAAAGGCCATTCCATTGAGTATCTTAGACTTAATTTTTATGAAAGTTTTTTAAAAATAATTTCCTATTTACATTGTTAAGATCCATTTCACTTGAGTATTTTGTCATTTACAGTAATAACTCATCAATCTGTTAATGCAACCTTTCTTAATGCTACTTTTATTAGTCCTATGAAATGTGCTATTTTGAACCGCTGAAATGTTATAAACCACCAGATTGCTAATTGCTTTGGATACTGTGAAAAATAATTACTCGACATTATTTTTTATATTTAATTGACAGTGTAATGCATTTAACTAAAGATCTGCAATGAACTATTTCTAATTACTGAGCGTAGTGGAGTGCAAAAACTAGGCTGTAAAACTTTACAAGGAAACAATGTTTTCTTCATTACATTAAAAGTTATTGTTGCTATAACTTTTTCACAGGCAAACAAAAAAAATCCTTAAATGGGAAGTTCTGGAAAGCTAGAAAGAGTTGTGGAATATTTTTATTCATGATATAGTAAGGATATTTTTAAAATTATTATTTTAATAGATTGGTGATGGGTGTCATATACTAATTTTACCATGCTTGCCCTAAAATTTCTCCTTCTTTAGTTGGCAGAATTTTATGAGAGAGATAATCACGCCACTGCCAGAATGAGTAATGTTCATCACTGGCCTGTGTTCAATTCATTCTGCATCTGTAGGACTCAGCTGAAAAGCTATGCCAAATTTTAGATATTGAAATATGTAGATATATCAGGAACTGAGTCTGTTCTTAGCTCTCAAGGTAAGAACTTCTTGTTAGAAACTGATCTTTGAAAATAACTTAGAACCTGATGCAAGGAATTCCCACCATCTAAAAGTGTCACGAATTGAGGTGTAAAACGTTAGGCTCTTTGAGTAGACGTGTACTGTTTTCATTGCCTGTGGTTCTGAGGTTATTAATGGTCAGCGTATTCTTCTTTTCCTCCCTATAACACCTGGCTAAAATAAAGTGCCTCCACTGGTATTACATTAAATTGCTTATTTCATTTCAATGATGTACATTTTCCAAAAACAGACATCTAAAACAAGTGACCTGTTTCAGGGAATGTAAATTATTTTCAGAATTTCAGAAATTGAAAAGGGATAAGAGGAAGGAGAAAATGCTGGGCTGGTGTGAAGCGATAGCGCGTAACCCTCGCAGGATCCCTAACAACACGCGGACCCCCGAGGGCTCAGAGGAATGGGCTGACGCCTCGCAAACCTCCACACTGGTGAGTGCAGCCGTGGTACCTCCAATGGCTTGTGTGAATGGATGCGGAGGGAATGGGGAGGGGGCCGGGGAGGGCTTCCTCAATAGTTCTCTGCTTTGCAATGTATTATATTGCTCATATAGACGTCGCTTAATCAACGGGTAGTAATAAAAACATCTTAATTTCATAGAATCTAGAGTTTAATTCATGTTAACAATTTTTTTTTTTCTTTCTGTTTCTTTGGACATCACCCGTCCATTATGTCAGGGACCTTACAGAGACATTTAAAGTTTATACCTTGCATTCTACACTTCGGTAATGGAATCACTGGAGGAAAACGAGTACTGTTATCCAAAAATAATGAAAAATCAGAATCCTACCTTCTGTATTTTCCTATATTGAATCCTTTTTAAAGGCATTTTTTAGAATATATAGGATTCAAAAAATTATAATTTTGATATAAAATCGTGAATTGCTAAAATGATTTGAAGACCAGATCAATAATATACTCTTTCTTGTTTTGTTTTCTGCGTTAAGTTTATATGTTCGGCTTTAGCTAGCTTTTATTTCCCAGTGATTAGGAAAAGAGAACTCATTAGCAAAAGGAGTTTTATAAGTTCTTTGTTTAGATTTTGGCTGCAACATACTTCATTTTGATTTAAGGAAGGAAAATTCCATTCAATCTCTAAGTTTTAAATTGACATGTTAGTTGTATTTTAATTGCTATTTTACCATTTTATAAGAACACGTACTTTCATTAGCCTGATTTATTAGTTGATGAGCATATAATTAAATATAAGCAAAGGTTTTAGGTTTATTTTTTTACTTTTGAGTTATTTGATAATTTCTATCATTTTACATAAAGACAATGGTCCTGAGCAAACATTATAGAGTGAATTTCAAGAGAAACCATGGAAAGGAATAGGCTTTCAATTGATAAAACATAGAAATGGGAATTCTGTTTAATTCCATCATCTTAGACTGTACGGAGAGGGCTGAGGGTATGAAGAAAGTATGCAATGTGATTGGACAAAGTTCTAGGGAATAGATTCTTTGAAATTATTATCTGCAGTGTTTCATCTCAGTCATATGCTCTTTTGTAAATTACCGTTTTCAATAAAACTGCTTGGCATGAGTTAGCACCATTTAAATACACATGTTGCACAATATTTATACATAAAGTTGGATTTTGTAGGTACCGTGCAATAACTAAAATTTTTTAAATAAAAATATTACTTCCGTGATCTCATTAGAGTGGCTTTAGTGCTTAATTACAATTTCATAGAACCATAGATCAAAACCATTAAAAAAAATCTTGAGCCAACATTTGGCCTGACTTTCTCTTATAATTTTGGGTAACCTAATATTAGCTTCATTTTACAAATGTGTAGTGGCCCAGAGAAATTAAGTGACTTTCCCAGTGTCACTTAGCTAGTAAATGTTACTTCTAGGATTACTAGAAGCCTGGCTTCTGAAGGTAAGGCATGCTGTATTAGGGCAACAGTCTTCAGCCACTGTAACCTAACCCCCAAATCTCAGCAAAATAAAATATTTCTTATGTCATAGCTTATGTGTCTAGGGCAGCTCTCCTTGGAGGTTCACTGTCAAAGGTTCACTGATTATTCAAAAACTCCATCCCTCTTTTTATGCTGCCTTCTTAAGTACATGGCCTCTTAGGTCACTGAGGAAAGGAAAAGGCTATGCTGTCCATTGTGCATGAGCTATTATGGAGCAACCTGAAGTGTGTAGACATCCTTCCGTTTGCTACAACCTAGTCTCATAGCCCCATCTGAACTGCAAGGGAGGCCGGTGAATATCAGGAAGCCATGTGGGCAGGAAAAGCAGATAAGGACATCTCTGCCAAAGTCCACTCTTGGGGTCGCCAAACATTCATGTCACGTTTCCACTCTTTCATTAAGAAGGGCTATTATTTTCCAAGAGAGATAACTAAACATTCTTTCAGTCACTGGATTCAGTTCAAATTCATGGTCTCTGGTTATTCATTGTCCTCATCTAATGATGATGATGGTCAGTCACCTATAAATAAACGATTTATATTTTGCAACCAGCTCCCAACATACATATATACCCAATATGAAGGAGAGGAGTAGGAAAAGGGAAACCACAATAAACACTCACATTTGGAAAGAGAAAGAACTAAATGTACATGGAAGTCAGTGGTGAATTCCTGCTGGACAGACACTGTCAAGTCTCCCTGACCTCTAGGTCAGGGAGGATCCTTGAATTGGCTTTGACCCTGCTCCCTGGGAGATCTCCCTTGTCCGTGCTTTCCTCTAGCCTCTGGATACGCCCTCTGGGAAGTTCTTCCTTTTCTGTTATTCTCCTTGTCCACATTCAAAGTGCCTAATGAAACTTGTATAGCCTTAAAATATTTTATTTTCCTGTTTGGGGAAAATTATGGAACCAAGAGTTGTTTTAAGTCTTAGGAATTTCAAGGCTCATACTGCTGGAATCACGGTATTTCAGTACGACGATCCTCTGCAATCTGCTAGGGCTCTGATCTCTTTGCTTTCCGGTAGTCCATGTGCCTAGCAGAGTTCTATCTTGGTTGCCCTTGATTTCCAGTTCTCCATGTCTCTATCTCAGCATGATCATATCTTGAAGAACAGGCAGGAGGACCACATCCTTAACCTCTTTGTCCAGAGATGCTTTGTTCAACTGAGAGGGTCCACTCGGTGTCAGCTCTGAAAATCATATTAGCCTTGAGTCACTTTATTCAAATGTAACTTTTCATTGGACCTTTGTTACTCAACACTCGCTTCAATGGCAGGTCTACCAGTTGGGGTTTAGAAGAAATCAGGCATTGGGTCCAACAAACCTTGAAACTTTCGGATTCTCTGTATACCTGGTCAGATCCGCTTTCACACAAACCGCTTAGTTCCTGAGCTCACATTTCTCCTGTAACACCTTTGCTGAATGTAGCTGATGGTACTTAACATACATTATTAAGTTCTGTTTTTCAATCTGTTTTGAGTGTTGCCAGCCCAGCAGGCCCAGGGTCTGCCTCTTGAGTTAATTCAAATAGAGATTTTGCCAATAGTTTTGCCCAAACATCATGCAGATAAATAGCTTTCTACCTTTGTAATCAGTTTCCTCCCTCCCCGTTGCTTAAACATTAAACAAATGCCACATATTTTAGACTTTTCTTATGGTAGCACAGACTTTGGCTAACTGATTTCTGTATTCGGGTAGTTATAAAAGTTGGGATACAGTCAAGAAAACAGAAATAGGCAATTTTAACAATATACAATGTGAAAAATTATTTAATCTGCTATTGGAAGATTGAAAATGTCAGAAAGGTACACAAGTTTGGTAACTTCAAGAAGTAGCAACCACCCATACAGAGGAGTCACACAGGGAGGAGACTAGAGCTACTCAAACCTAAAAGGTTGACGGAGGGACCCCTCAGAACTGCACCCCAACTCTGAGGAGGGATGCTTCTCAGCTGATGAAGGAACATTGGAGCTCAGAGGAAGGACCCTGAAGATCTAGGACCCAGACTCCTGAAGGGGATGCACTTCTCAATCCTTATATATTCAAGTGGGGGGAAGGGGCTGGTGCAGTAAAGGTAGTTCAGGGCGTGTGAAAAAAGCTTAGAAACTGGACCCACCTTCCACTGCCGACTTAAGTCTTGTGGGATAACGCTAACAGAAACAGAGTCCTCTCTCTCCTCTTGTCTAATGGTTTCTTTTAGCACTAGTGTTGGCAGAACCTGACCAAGAAGTAAATGTCAAAGGAGATATCTGGTTTGAAGGCTCCCAGCTCCAGCATCTTGGTGTAGAATACAGGAGAATGGATTTGGGGCTGAGTGATATTAGCTTAGTAATCAGTATGGAAAATTAAGAATAGAAGCTTTAACGAACTCTCAGAAATTTCATAGGCTTAACATAATAAAGGTTTGTTTTCACTCATGGCTCAGCCTGATACAGGACATTTGATCCTCAGACAGTGAATGCAGAGATATCTGCTCCTCCCATCTCCCAGGGCTGCTGTCTTAAACACAGGCCTCCTGGTATTGAGTTTATCAGTTAAGGGGTGGAGTATGAATGGGTGACTATGTAGATATCAGTTTAGGTTTGGAAGTGCTAAGCATCACTACCCTGATGCCGTTGGCTGGAACCAATGACACATCCCAGTGTATCTGTCAGAATGATGGGAAATAAGGGCTTCCTATATGACCAGAATAGGGAAATTGAGAGCATTTGACCAGCCTCTACCACAAATGCGTTCATTCTTTGAGTGGTAGCAGTTTTGTCCTGCCTTTCCATTTTATATCCCCAGGATTTAACTATTACTCACTGCTGTCACCCGGAGCATTTGAGGCTTTTCTGTACAAATCATACCCCATCTAATGATGATGGGGTGGGGGGGAGAAAAAGGAGGATGAGGAAGATATGGATGATGGTTGTTTGCCAGGAGCGTTTCTAAGCATTTCACACACGTTCCCGTTTGTAATGCTACAAGGATCCGATGAGGTGGGCATGATCATTATCCCTGTGTTGTGGATAAAGAAACTGAGCTACAGAGAAATGTAAAACCTGCTGAAAGTGACTTAGGTAACGACTGGTGAAGCTGAGATTCCAACAGTCCAAGCAGTCTAAAACCAGAGGGCTGCTCTCCTGTCTTTCAGGTTGGGGGAAAAAGTCATTATTTGAGTTGACACATTTGGTTAAACAGAAAGATTATAAAGGAGATAATAATACATTACAGTGTGTGACATAAAAACAAATAGGGCCTTTTCTTTATAATCTCTTGATTACATGTGTCTGTTAGATTACTCTCTGCTCTGCATTGACTGACATATAAATATGGCCAGTATCACCATTGCAGCCTCAATAACTGACCTAATTGAAAACGATAGCACTTTTTTTAATCTATAATACAGTTCAAATTATCTGCTTTTTAAATTCAGAAAGTGCTTACTTAGGCTAAAATCCCTTGAGTAAGAACATTGAAGGGTTTGAGAGATACTTATTAAGCAACCATCTTCATAGTTTTAA